CTTACCAACGTGGTACAGCGGTACATTCATTGAATCATTGAATGAAAGACAAGGCAAAGAGTTTCCAATTGATGCTGAGGAGCCGGGTTGAATAGTGGGTTATGAGAGTTAGAGTTACATTTTGCGGTTTGGAGGTGATGGGGTGTGTAAACGGTTTGGGGGGTGTGATTTTGGAGAGGGTGTGGTGAGGGGATGAGGTGGTTATTTTGCTTTGTGCGTGAATACAGGGTGCGGGGTGAGGTGTGTTGGTTTTTCAAGGCGAGGTGGTGGGTTTTCAGAGTCTAGGAGGGTGGTGACGTTTACGTGTAAGTGTTGGCTGGTGAAATTTAAAGACAAGTGGGTGGAAAACCTTTGATGGGGGTGGTGGTGGTGGACTTTCAATACGGTGGTGAGGTTTCATTAATAGCCTGGTGGATTTCAAAGACAGGGGGGTATGCTAGTGTAAAACAATGTAAGGGATTGGATGTGGTGGTGGGGAAAAGTCGAAGGGTGGTGGACTTTTACTAACATGGTGGGCTGTATCTTGTGGGGATTCGAGGCTGGTCTTTGTTTCCTTAAGCAAAAAGGGGACTTAGCCAAAATTGGATGCCTCCAAGAAGCTTCTTGAGATGAAGGTTCATCTTGGCAGTTGAACTCGAATGCCATTGGGCCATACAGATGTACGTATGACCCTATGGTATAGGGTACATACTTAAGTGTACAGGTGGCCATATCCGCAAGATTGTTTTATGCAAAAAATCTTTCGGCTTCACTTCTATGTGTTGAGCGCTACTCGTCTGATTACGTCTTTTCTTTTATCTCTGCCTATTCTACAAACTTATATCATCAGGATCTCTGATATCTTCTACTTTGATTTATCACATCTCCGAAGACAAACAAAAGTAACAACTGAAGAGCTCAGTGTAATCTTACAGATTTCCTTCAATATGAAAGCGAAACCTACTCATGATCAAATCCATTAAAATCAATATTTCATCCAACTTTGTGGCCTTAGTATTACCATATTGCTATATAAGTATCATACATAATTGATCAAGGACCTAAAATGATTTCAAATAATATTTAAACACTGAAAAATACTCTGACATTGTATGTTTCTTAACTAAATTTAATTATACACAAAATCTTTCATTTCATTCACATTCACAATTCGTATCATTATAATACTCTAAAACAAATCACTAAAATCAAAATTCTCAACGATTTTTCTTTAAACATGCTGATATTGCAAACCAAAAACAGGACACAAAAACATAGGAAAAAAAGGGTTCATGATAAACTTTAACTTAAAAACACACAGACATATATGTAAAGATGAAAAGAAAACTAACCATGTCGATTTCTTTACTTGACTACTTAACTTTATACATTGTTTTTTCTTTTTGAGAACAAAAAAGAGATTTTTTGGTTTGGTTTGTTCTATATTACTTAATCTATTATTGATTGAAATCAATGTTAAAAGTGTAAATGTTAATTTAAACTTTTCAACCCAACCCTTCTTTTTCTCCATCTTCTTCTTCCTAACTTCCAAACTTGATTACAAAAAGTTCAAAAACCTTTGAAAAAAAACTTTGAATGAATTAATCTTGAGGTTGTTTCGAAACTTGAATCAATTCATTTAATAAACTTTCAATTCGAACTTGACTTTCGACCAATCTTTGAATCTTTTTATCCCTCAACCCGTTCGCACGTTCAATCTTTTCTTCAATCTCTTTAACCATCGAAAGTTGTTCTAATGAACTTCTTAAACTGCTTTCACGATGATGATCATGATGTTCTAAATACGATCTATCTTGTCTTTCGAATTCTTCATCATTTTGAATAATCGAAGCTGGTCTTGTACTACTACGATTAGTGGCTTTTAATCGTTGATGACTATGAACCGAGTTAACTGATGAAGTCGAAATCGATCGTTTTAAGGCTTCAAAGGGTGTAATCAAATTCTCATTCATGCCTTCTGGTCTTTTCGAATAAGCTGGTGTAGATCTTCTATACGGACTTAACGGTTTAGAATCCCTTTTCCGTCCTGAACGTGATACTCCTGTATCAGTATCAGATGAAGAACTTGAAGAGATGGTAGAAATTGATGATGATCTTGTGTCTTGGGAAACATTGGTTGGTTTCACATTCCGTCCTGGACTTGGCGTTCCAATCAATGAAAGATATCCTTCAGGCAAAAACAATCGCTCGAGTGGTGTCATATTAAGGTTTTGCTTAGGACTAATGTTGATGTCTTGAGTTTTTCTTGAACCACGAGCTCCTGGTTGACTATGAGATCGTTTCATGGATCTTCGATTGGATTTTCTAGGAGCCGGTCCAGCCTCAAGTTCACCTTCTAATATCTTACGAGATCGACGTTTACTTGTGAATTTCGAGTTGCCTTTCAAGGTTGCATACCGATCATCTGGCTCAGCTTGACTTTGACTGGCTTCATTCTCATCACCTCCTCGAATCGTTTGTGCACCATCCGAAGGTCTTCGTCTATACAAAAACGCTTCATCATCTTCTATTCCACCATCCTCTTCTCCATGAATCGGAGGTGCCGGTTCGAAACTAAAACAAGCTTCAATAACAGCTGAAGATAAACCTCCGAATTTATGTAAGTTTCGAGTGATTCGAGATGACATTTGTGACATTTTAGTTTTCCTACTATCATGATGATTACGAGAAGAAGTAGAAGATGGATTAGGAACGAAATGACTTCCGATTCCTAATCCTCCTAAACTATTGACTACTGAAAGTTTTAATGAATTAGTCACTCGATTCTCTCCTTTTTCAAATGGTCCAACTACATATCTTTCAAAAAAACTAATCGTCAAAAGGATCGGACAACCAAAGAACCGACATAGAAAGACCACGACCGTATGAAATTTACGTGGTGTTAAGAATGGCTTCAAGATGATTAAGATCAGTAAGGCAGGTATGTTCCAAGGAGGTTGAAAGGAAAAGATCGCATCTGATTTAACTCCTTCAAATGTCAAGACTGCTTTGCGGTACAGAGTCTCGGCTATGGCATCGTTAGAGATGTCGCTGAAGATCTTTGACAAGATTGAGACCAGGACGGTGACTGAGAAGAAAGTAAGAACCAATTAGTCATAGGATTGATCAACAAGGAAAAAGACGACGAGATGCTTACCCAAGAGCGTATTAGACAGACAAGCATAGATGATAAAGATAGCAGGACCTACAAATGAAGTGAACTCTAGTATCAGCTCACCAGTTATTTAAAAAAAATGAAAGAACAATCAAGATTTGCTCACCTAACACCCGATGAAACTCGTGAGCAATTGTGATCCCAGTAGCATCTAATCCAAAGAAAATGTAAACCATCCATTTGGCGATTTGACCGATTGAATATTTTTCCATTTCACCTGCTTCAGTTAAACTAACTTGAAGCATATAAAGTGAATATAAAAACCCAAGAAAACACCAAGCTCCTAATAACATTAAAAACACAAAATCACTCATCATCGATCTTAAGGATAAAATCAATAGATTATCCGAAAGTGTAATGAAAGCTAATCTAGGAAAGACAAAGATTGCTAAACAAGATAAAACTTGATGAGATTGTTCATTTAACCAATAAGATTTCATATCATAATGAGATAAATAAAATAAACCAGAAGATCTTAAAGATAAATAAATTAAATAACCAAAGATGAAGGCAGCATCAAATCCATTCCAAAGATTGGCTATAAAGACACGCCAACCATGTTCTAAGATCGATCCAGTCTTGTCTAGGGCGAATCCCAAAGTAAAGATATTAAACCAAATCTCATATCCATTCATCCTATTCAATTCTCTAGTTTCCATGGTGGCTACATATGAGATGATCAGAATTCCATAATTAAAATAACCTAGAGCAGCTCTATTACGTGGAACTCCTAAACGATAATGATTGAGTAAAGGTGCATCTCTTGGATTGTAGAGTGAAACCGGTCGACGTTTGTATCGATCAGAGACAATATCAAAGATAGCCGTCGAAGTATAAACAATCTTTCCAGTCCAAATTGCCTCTGTGAAAAGTCAAGAGAGCGATTTGAATTAGTAAAAGAAGTCATTAGGGTTGAGAGAGAAAGAGAAAGAGAGATGGATTACCAATCACTCGTTGACAAGCCGGACTTCGAATGAATTGTTTAGCTTCACTAACAATAGCCATCTCAAGTGCATTACATTGAGAAGTCAGAATCTTTTTAGTATCTTTAACACCCCAATCAGCTTCCATATTTCGAATCACTTCGATCGGAGCACCTTGAAACATTTCAAATGCAGTAGCCAACACATTAGCCGATTTCAATAAACAATTTTCTTCTTCTTCTGGTGTCAGTTTAGGAGTCACAGTTGAAGATTTCATTCGTTTGGATCGATTTGAAAGGTGTTGAGATTCTTTGATCAGATCAGATTCATGTACTCTTCTTAAAACGTTGGTAGCTAAGATTTCACATAGAGAAGCTCGGGTTGCATTAACGGAATGTAAAGTGAGAGCATGAGTTGAATCGGTGATGAATTGAACTCGATTGACTAGCAGAGCAAAGACGATTGCAGGATGACGTAGATTGAAGTATTCTAATTCGAGTGGACGAGTGATGGATAGGGTGATACGTGGTGAAGTGAGTTGTTCAGTCGATAAAGGTGTGTCTAATCAGAAGCCAATCAAACTAACATTAGCATTTGAAACCATCGAGATAATGAATCGAATCCTTTACCAATCAATTCCAAGAGTCTTAGACGTATATCATGAACCAACTTGTGTATGCTAGTCAGATCATCATCATCATCATCATCTTCATCTTCAGTTAAAAGAGTGTCTGGTTGAAATGGTCTAGAATGCTGAGTTGAAGGTGAGACAGGTTGGAATGTGAGTTTTGGAATTAAATGAGTTCTTTCATGATTTAGTTCTTGATCTGAGTTTGCAGTGTTGATATCTAACATTCTTGAATTCGACTTGAGCTTTGACATGCTGATGATGATGTTGATGATGATTGTGATGGCGAAGAAAACAAAATCAAAATCAAAACTAAATGAAGATGTCTTTGAGAATATCTCAATTTACATAATTCATCAACATCTCATTCTCATCCCATGTCATGCCCATCATGAACCAAGAAATCCAACAGAAAAAAAAACCAATAAATCAATTCATGGTTTCTCTCGTACTACTACTACTACCATCTCATCAATCCAAACTTTACATATTTCTATCTACACCCAAGAAAATCAAAAATCAAACTTCTTCACTCTCTCCCCATCTTGATGATCAGTGTCTATAAAAAAAATTGAACAAAGTAGTTATGAATGTTTTTTTGTAAAGAGCTCTCATTCAAATACAACATTTACAAAGAGAAAACACAAAAAAAAGCAAAAAAAAAAACATCATTTGTATGGATTGATCCAGTTCATCATTCTTCAGATTTAAGGTCTTCTACTACTGTTGGATTAGATCCTTCTGAAATGATGATGGAATTACTTTCTGAATTCTCTTCCATTGGTTGATGATGATCTATTGGAGATTGATCTATACTAGATGATGATTCAATTGAATGTTGACTATCTTCCACTTCGATTGGAATTTCAGCATTTTTAGTATCAGATAAAGAAAGATTAGCAAGTTCAGTTAAAGGTTCTTCTAAATTCGATTCGGTAGATAAAGATTCTTCAGATTTAATAGGTGAAAGTGATTCAATAGGTTCATCATCATCTGACCATTCCGATAGATTTGTCACTTTTGAATTTCCTCCTCCTAACCATTGATCTCCATCATGACTCTCATCCATCACTTCACCTTCTTCTTCTTCATCATCTTCTTCCTCTTCCTCTTCTTCTTCCTTAATCACTTCTTCTACTACACTATTCAGTTTAGCAGTATGAGCATCCTGTGATGGTCTAGACTGATTAGATTGTCCAGCTTGTAGATTCATATCATTAGCTATCCCCAACAGTTCTCTTAAATGTTCATTTTCTTTCTTCAATCCTTCTACTTCAATCGCTGTTTGTAAGGCTGTATCTGAAAGTGATCCGTTTCGTTTTCCAACAAATCCTCCTCGAGATGGGTCTTGTAATCTAGGTTGATATTCAATGATCGATGTAGAACTACGTCTGGGTGGAGATGGTCCATTAGCCAAACCCACCGATCGACCCACTCCCAATGATCTGTATGCATTGAATGGATTCTTAAACTCTAATGGAGATAGAGTAGCTTGAGAAGTACCAGGATCGGGACTAGATAAGCTAGCGTCATGTCCAAGAAGTTGTGTACCTGGTGATACTTCTGATATAGCTCCTAATGGACTTGGACTTGGACTTGGACTTGTACCCATCGAATAAGCTTGATCTCGATTCCGATCTGAAAATTCATCAAGTTCATTCAAAGACGGTTCTTCTCCTAAAAGATCTCTCATTGCTCTTTGAATGAGAATTGAAATGTTTTGAATAGATTGAAAGACGTTTGGATCGATGATCAAGATCGGATTATTAGGATCATAAGGTGATTGTAAATTCGGTGGGATCCCAATCATCGATCTTTGTTGTTTTTCCATCAAAACTTGTGATTCGTAATACTTGATCATCTCAAGTTCGTGTTGTTGAGTTGAATGCTATTTTGAAAAAATCAAAATCAAAACATTTAATCTTAGTCTTCTCATGATTCACATGGTCATCGGAAATTCAATGAATGAATGCAAGTGAAAGATTTCGAATCAGACTGACAGCATGAGTACGAAAACGGGTCATGATTTGTTCAAGAGTGGTTTCATGATCCTTAAGAAGAATCGTAAGTTGTCTATTCTCATGTTGTAAAGTTTGATTCTCGATGACTAATTGAGCATTCATCCTTTCTACTTCAGATTCGAATTGTTCTACACATCCATCATCACACAAATCATCATCATCAGTGGATCCAATTCATTCTATTCATTCAGATCAATTTAGGAAAAAAACAAACCTTTACTAAGATCAACATTAAATCGTTTAAGTGCATAACCTGTACCAGTATGAATAGCTTGAGTTTTTAAATCTTCAGCTTGTTTCTTAAGTTGTTCACATTGTTCTCTATTTTGAGTAAGTTGTGATGATAATTCAGCTAAGAGGTGCCAAAGTCTTTGAAGATCTTCATCCATGACTGCCATCTCGATAGCAAAATAATAATAATACTTGATAATAATTAATTGATAATGATAATGATGATGATGATAAGTTAACTTGAATTGTTTGTATTTTCTTTGAGGTTGGTTGTCTTTGAGAAGTTGCTCATTCAAACAATTCATCGGTTCAACCACTTGGAATTTCGGATACACTCACCTGCCCGAACAGCCCGGGACGCTCGAGTATCTTTGCCTCGATCATCAGCTTCTCAGTTTCTCAATAGCAAGTTCATGGTCCGTAAAGCTTGGGCTCTAAAAGTTTTTTCATTTCCTTCTTATTGTCATCAAGTATTCCTGATTTTCGATTAGATGGCCGCTCTTCAAAGGTGTACTAGTCTCTTCATAAATACATACATTTTTTGTGAGTGTTGTATGCAATTAAGCCAAACGCACTTTAAAAAAAAGTTCATGGTCTTGGATTCTTGACTTCCAGGGTGATGCTCATATAGTCACTGACATTTGTGCTCTGAAGCATTTTGGTAAAGCTTTAGGCGACCGGTAATCTATTGAGGAAACTCTGATTGAACTTATTCTAACTTTTTTCCCAATATTGATCCTTGAATCCTAATCGAGGAATTTCTTCACAATTCTCTCTCTATTTCTCTTGAACATCCTTCTATATAGTATACTAATGTGCTTTTACGTTCCCTACGATTATCAAGTTTATAAAGCAAGTCAAGTACAAAAGAACTGTATAATTTTCGTACTTTCCTTGTTAAGATCTTGAAGCTTATGAGTTTAAATACAATAAGAATGACTCTCCTACCTTTAAACAAGCCTTTCAAAACCAGTCTTGGTCGTATGAAACCACTCTTCCTGACTATGATCACTCAAGGCAAAACTCAAAGTTCATTGTAAATGAATCCTACTATAAATCTGCTATCAAAACTCATTCTTAAAACAAATCAAAACAATCATCAAGCCAAGCCAAGAAATATAAATAATTGTTTGAATAACAAGAACCTAAATCAAATCTCGCAGATATGAATCAATCTAAACCCCCCCCCCGGAAAAAATTGAATTCAAATCAAATCAAGACCCAAAGTGACGGAAACAACCACCACCACATCGTTAACAAACCAACAAAAGCTAGCCTTCATAATCTGTTTTCATAAATAAAATTGTATATAACAGATTGTCATACAAACAAGAGTGATAGTGATACTGAGAAAACTCGCAATGATAAAAGTAAAATGGATTAGATGACCAAGAATAAGATCATCAATTTTGACAATGTTCAAGTACGCTTACTCAACCGGTCTTCTTCTTGACCATCTAGTTGACCTACATCCTACCTATTGTTCTTGCTCTTGTCTTCCCTCAACACATCATACAGTCACAAAACAAAAAAAAACAAAAAAAACAACTGATGATCATGCTTTCACAACTTAGGCACTAAAAATTGATTGGAATTAACAATTCATGAGATTAGCTCACTGATGAACTTTAGTCTGACATTCAAAAAACGCTTACCTTTCAAAGTTTTAGATAGCATAAATAAAGCCCAAGTCCCAAAGATGATACTTAACCAATGAACCTTTAAACCATATCTAGAATCAAGGAATTCCACAATCCCACCATACAACTGATTTCCCTTTTCATTAATCAATCGTAATCTTTCAAGTTGTAGTTTATCGATCCCAAGAGATTCCAATTTCAATAGATGTTGAAGGACTTGTGGATCTCTAGGTAAAGAGATTTGATCAAGTCGTATACATTGATACATGCCAGCTATCAAGCCTAAACTGGTAGGTATAGGAAGTCCTTCAAAACCAGATGGTTTAGGTGTTTGACCATTTTCGGGCTTAAAGGCTGCTGTTGAATTAAATCGTGCTAATCGAGTGAGTCCAGCACAGATGAAGAAAGTCAAGATACCGATATCAATAGGATGTCGAAGTCCAATACAATATCCAACAAGACTAGGAGCCACTCCAAAGGAAATTAGATCGGCAAGTGAATCGAGTTCTTGACCAAGTACAGATGATTCTTGTCTAAACCTAGCTACTTTTCCATCTAAGAAATCAAATCCAAGTGAAAGGATCGGAAAGAGACAGGCTCGATGTAGGTATTGAAGTTCAAGGCTTAGGATGAATTGACATGATGAGAAGATCGAAAGTGAACCGCAAACGCCATTCATGATGGTGATCACATCTGCTAATCGAAAGTTTCTGTATTGGATGTGTGTGTGTGTTTTTGATGAAAATCAAGAGTCGATCGATGGAATATATCAAAGGGTTTGTTGATCGAAAGGTCAAAGGATTTGAACAGTTGGAATCATTTCGCCAATCAAAATCACAAAAAAACAAAGCTTGTCAACATCCAAGAATAGGATTCCAACTTTTCATTCAAAACGTTTGAAAGTTGTCACTCCTAATAAAAAAGCTCAGCTAACCTAACCAAGCTGAAATGTCGATCATCATTAACGAATTCTTTAAGAGCAAGTGAATCGGCATCTTCTTTTGTATTGTTCAAGTTTGGTTGACGTAAAGGTTTTGAAAGACCAAGTTTATCATCAGATGTAAAAGAACTGCTTGATTCGTTTCGACTGATAGGTTGAATACCACCTTTCATGGTGATACTTTCACGTCTTGCATTGGTCATGATGATCGGATTAACTGTGTTGTTTAAACTTTCAATGGGATCTGTTTTGGCCGAAAGAGCTGAACTTTCTCCTGGTGCTGATGCAGGTATTGTCATTTCAGGATGAGTACCTAAAGAAGAATCAGAAGAAAAAAAAAGACTCACATCCAGTGAAAAGGATGTTAGCATCAGAGTTAGAACAGGTGTTATGAAGAAATGAAAAATAGAAAATGAAAAAAAAAGTTAAACTGATATTCACCCGGCATTTTGAATTTGATTATGAAACCGGTAAAGGGTGTTTTGAGTATGTAGGAATCGAATCGAATTGCGATCGAATTTGTGGATCTTTGAGAAAATAGAATTTCTTTAGTTGATCCAAGTGAAGAAAGACCGAGTTTTAGTCAGAAATTCTTAAGCTTAAGTAAACCGAATTGAGGTGTTTTGGCTTTTCTACAGTCGCTAAAGCCAGATTCCAACTACCCCTTGCCCGCAAAATCGAAATTTCAACTTCGACCCGGTGTTACCCTAACTCAATTCTACACTACACTCTATACCAGGACATTTATGAAATGGGCTGAATGAGCTCAATCTGAAAATGTGAAAATAAATCAAAAAAGTTGAACGGTTCTCAAAAGTTGATTACATATTTTTTTTACTAAAATTCCCATATTTTGGGACCTAAGCATATATTTAGGCTGTATTATGCTAATAAACGTAGTACCTTAGCCACCTAAGTACTTAGGCCCGCTAGCTTAAGTACTTAATAGCTCTAGTCGTAACAAAAGGTTGGCCACAAAATCATATCAATTACCACCTTGAACACTGGTTTTGACTAGTTGGAAGTCTGTTAGGCCTTATAGACTCTTGTTTGAGCCCTGAAAGCTATAATTCTGGTATAATATGATGGGTTCTTGAAGATTTGAAGATGCTAAAAAACTATTTTTTTGGAAATTCAAACCCCCGAAATTGGGACCGGGGGCGGCCCCGGGTCGAAAGGGTAGCTGAATTCAGCCTTTAGCGACTGTACAACATAAAACAGTACAGCCTACTGTTTCTGTTCATGATGCCATGTTTTATTGCGTCATTTCTTTCTGTACAAGAGCTCAGCCCTTTGATACTACCACTTCATCAATTCAAACTCTTTCAGTCATTCAAAAGTTGAAGAATTGTTTTACATTTCATCTGATTCTTGATCTCACTCTGCAAAACTTGACTTTGGAATCCTAAGCTATACAAAGATGATGGATTCCTCAGGTTTACTCAAAGTGAATTAAACAAAATCAAAAGTTTCCTATTCAAGAATGTAGAAGTCGATTTGGGAAGGTTCCAATCAAATCAAGATTATTATCATTGAAGATTGAAGTGAAGAATCGATCATGTATACCACTTCTTCAAAGTTTTCCATTTATGTCTGGGTAACGCCAACTATAATCTCTTCAGAAGTCTCCGTCTTTCGTACTTTCGTTGGGTCTTGGAAAAGTCCTATCAAAGACAAAAGATCGATATTCTGGGAATGGAAATCGAATTCTTTGGCAATTCGGCCTACAAAATGAATGATTCTCACAAGGATGTAGAGCCGCATTTAGCCAAGTAATAGAAGGATAGAGTAAACCTCACAATATTGCATCGCTTAAGCAGGCAAGGGCCACGGAAGAGGAATACCTTCCTTACTCGGAAAAGAACAATGAAAGACTTGACTTCCTTCTAAATACTTGAATAAGTTAAATGGAAAAAACGACTTGCTCATTCCCACTTACTCTCATTGAATTCTCTTCGCCTGTCTTCAATCAACAACCCCTGTGTTGCCAATCATCTATCGCATTGACTTATACCTTTTTGTTCAACTCAATTTCAAAAGATGTCTTGCGGAAGGAGCGCTAGTTCAAGATATTTTCCGGATGAAGTTTTAGAAGTGTTGTTTGATCATATCCTTGACTTTCATTCAAAATCGGATCCCGAAAATCACCTATTCCTACAATTTCGTTTGGTCTGTCAAAGATGGTCATATCTAATTTTATCTAAATATCTTCGTACCATCATCATACACTCTCCTCATCAACTAGAAAATCTTTTAAACAATTGGGCAAACCTTTCTGCTTCAAGTCCGGATTCCTCACTCACCTTTTCGCCGGTTCGACGTCTTGAAATTGGTTCAATTTATCATAGGAAAACGCTTGAATCATGTCGATTTTTAGGTCTTTATAGTCCTAAAACTACTGTTTTTGGTGATCTTTCGAATCCGAATCCAGAGTTCCATTTAGGATATTTACTTCGAGTACTTTATAAATTCAGATATCGAAAACCTTATTACCCAAGTGTTTGTACAGTCTATGGCGTCATTCAACTTATCAAGCTTTTAGGAGAGAATATCAAATGCCTTCATCTTACTTTTTCCGATTCCTTTGGATTTCCTCAACCTTTGATCACTTCTATTAGTAATTTATCTCTACTAAGATCTTTATCTATCTCCCATGCTCAAGATCCTGCTTTTGGAAGAAGCGAGGAAGGTAAAAGTTATGAACCTAATACATTAATTGACTTATTAAAATCTTTAACTAGACTTGAAACTCTTGAACTTGGATGTGGAAAAGGTTTACCTGATTTCACTGATTCGAATTTAAGATTACCAAACTTAATACAACTTAAGATCGTACATCAAAGCAAAACTTCTGAGATTGGAATCTTGAGTTTTTGTAAATTAATTCAAAATCAAATTAAGGTCTTTGAATTCTCGAGTTTAAGAGGTTCAGAAGATCATCCGAAATATTTTAAAAAGATGTTAAAATGTTTTCAAAATCAAGTAGAATTCATTAGAATCGATTCAGAAAATTTCGAATTCGATTTAAATGATTTAATTTCAAATCTAGAATTTCCAAAACTAAAGTTTTATGATCCAAGATTACCTTTAAGAACTTCAGATTGGTCAAATTTAGATAAATTCAAAATTAGTTTATCTAATCTACTTGAATCTGAAATCGTTCAAGAACTTAATACTTTAGTCATTGGTCCATATTCTGATTTTATGATTGATACTCCTTATGGTTTTGCTTATCATTTGAAAAGTTTATTTAAAGCTTGGGGTTTAATTAAGAAGAAAAGTGGTAGATTATCTAGAGATTTAAATCGTAGAGAAAATGGTCCATGTAGGATACCTAGGAATCTTAAAACTATTATTTTTCATAAACATCATGCTCTTGGTAACACTTCTATTGAATTGATTCTTGAAGATTTTCGTGAAATCGGAATCGAATGTGTGTTTTTAGATAGAATCGGATTACAAAAATTATCACCTTTTTAATTTTCTTGACTCTTTTTCTCTTTATCTGAACGCATTCTTCTTTGAAGTAAATTGCTTAACCTTTCATTTGGAATCTTGGAAATGGTTTGAATTGGTCTATTGTAAATTGTATTGGAAAGGAAGAGCGTTCAGAAAAGTTTGTTTGGCTTGAATTTGTTCAAGATCATGTTTATATGATCAAACCTCATTAGAATGTAAACTTATCTCTGTCTTCCTAGCAATGTACAGCAATGCTGCGTTTTTTGTATGTTTGTTATTGATTGAGTTCTTCATTTTGTATAATATGATCGCGTTCTGCTATGATGCATAATATTCAAAAGGATGTGTTGGCCCTTGTATATAACCAAGTAATTTGGTTATTCACGATTAAAGCGAGGTTGGACTTGAGTGTTCGTCCTTCCGTATCAAGCCTTACCCATATTGTAGTAAGATAAAGTACACTGAATTCTGCATTCTCTGGGATGGATCCGCAAAGCCAACGGCGTCTTTTCACAGGAAGAAGAATACTACATGGTATCTTCAAAACTGAAGATCAAACACGGTCAAAATTGAAGAACTTAAGAGAAGAAATTCACAAAGACCCGTTCAATTTATCGAGATATTGTGAGGATTTTTGGACGATGTACTACTTTCTCGATTTCGAAAACTATCACCTAAGGCTACATGATTGCATTGCCTCGGTTTGCCTCGATTCCTTGCTCTTTCAAGTGTTTGGACGAGTATCAACGCAGCAGCAAGATCTCAATCTCAAGTCAGATTTGAGGAAGGACATTCAACCCTTCAAGAAAGGTTATAACGTGCCTCAGAATGCCTCAGATGCGCTGGTGATATCCGCGATCCAATCGGTCAAAAGCAAAGAATTCAGCTGGTAAAATAATTGACACTGGTACTGAAGTCAGTGAATCCTATTTTAATCTCAATGGAACTTACCGCACAAGGTATTATATATTGCGTCATATCTTGAAGGCAACGAGTCAATGCTTTGTTACCAAAAAAGCCAATGCATTGCAGTCATTTTTGATTGTGTAAGGAAAGATTAAACGCCAGCTTGATATTTGCATAAGCACGTAGTGCCTTGGATAGCCGTGTAAGATGGAATAGTACTTCTATTGAATCCGAATAAAATGACTGCAGGATGGTCTCACTTGCTTTCATCCTATTGCAAGCTTCGCGGCCGAACGCCCTTGAGGGAAAGTCATTGGATTTGAAGTCAATTCCCAAGTTCGGTGACTCCAAAGGCCGGGCCTGAGATCTGATCAACCTTGGCTTAGCTTCACTCAACACTCTTTCGGCTAAGTATCATTTAATCATCTTTGTGTATACATATTCACTGAAATTCTCGCCAGAGGGTAGATTTCGAAATTACGCTGGTATGTCAATGACGGAATTTAGCCTCATTTAGTGTAGGGTAAATGTGGCATTGTACCTATTCTCGCAGCTCTTGGATGTAATTTCTGGGTGTCTATGTGTTTTTGGCACTTATAGGACATCAACATTCTCATCAATTACTCAAAGTTCCGTCTTCGTGCAAAGATTGCCGTTTGTAACTTTCTTCTTGTCTCTGATGTTGTGATCTTCTTCAATCTGATCAGTTGTCCTGGCTTGTGGAACAGGAAATCCCCGCTAGAGCTGATACTGGTAGACTTTGTTTTCTTGATTTTACTTGATATGTATCTTAGTTTGTGCGCATAACAAGACTGGGAAGATTAGTTTGAGCAGCCCGGGCTATGTGCTTTGGATGTAAGTCTCTCCTTTTTCAATCAAAAGTCCCTATTCCCTTTGCTAACCAAGCTGCTTTTAAGGGGCTTTGTTTCCGTGATCACAGTACTGGCCTTGAAAAGAGACTTCATTTCTAACACAGATCATGCAATAGGATGGTAAGCAGGTCCCTCAGGTATCCCTCCAAGCAACCCAAGTCATGCAAAAGACTGACCCTCACATTCTTGGTCAGCTTGATTTCTACATGCTTAAGGCACAAAATATTACTCCTTCTTGAAATGAGACACCTTTCAGCCACTGTTCCAAAAACAACAGGGAAGATGATGAAACAACTTTCTCTCTGTGATGATTTCTAATGCTGACATCATTGACTGTCTTCCCTTCTTAGAATCCTCTGCATCTGAAGTTGAACTTGCTGAAAGCAGCTTCAAATTGCTCTCCAATCAAATTTCAGAATCTCATGGTTGTATTTCTCTGTGCTTGATTACAGGCACAATTGAAGAAAAAATCAATCAATATGATCAACACATCTCAAGGAAGGTAGCATGGGCGCATCATGTGGTCTGAGTTTGATGATTAATGAAACATTGAGATAGTTAGTTGGGCTTCCCTTTTTTCCCTGCAGGTAACATGTGGATTTGAAGTTGAAATGCACTTTATTTTTGTTTGATTTTGGCACTAATTATTGAGTTTGAAGTTTGAGGAGATCAAAACCAAGATTTTCCCTGTACAAGATCAAAGTAAGTCAAAACTAGAGATGGAATCCAGTGTTCTTGAGTGGTATGACAGTCTTTGAAATTTTAGTACTTTTACACTTCACTCCCCAGATGGTGTACAACTTCATTGTTAGTCATTTCTGTTTGTGATTTTTTACAGCCACACCAATTTCTTTTGCGTAAATGATGGCAACCAAACATTTGAGCACTTCTTCTATTCTACAATATATAAATGGATTATGCTAATAAGATATAAAGATATTTGGAGTGAAATGTAATTACCAACACAATGATGTAATACACACAGTAACATGCTCAACATCATAAAATTGTTAGTCATTTCTGTTTGTGATTTTTTTACAGCCACACCAATTTCTTTTGCTTAAAGGATGGTGATCAAACATTTGAGCACTTTGTCCAACATCTTTTTGATCTGTTTGTGAACAAGGGCTAACCCAAGTGCCCTAGGCCAGGGGCTCTAACACCTGCAAGAAACAAAAGGATGGCTTTTAAGTGGGTGAATGCAATAGGTGCACTTTTGATGGGATGATTGAGTGCTGTTAGGGCTTCTCATCATTTTATTAAACATACAAAAACTTCAGTCAGCTACACTCAGCTACCCACAAGACCATAGACAATCAAGGACTAGGATATGGTCAAATGAACTCAAGTGCAATATCATGAAATGATTCATTCTTTAATTCTACAAAAAAATGTTGAACAACATCAAAATTATCACCCCAGCTAACTCCTTGTGATGACTCATAGTATAAAAATCTCACTACACATGAGGATGCTAGCCTCAGGGGTAGAGATGTTATCTATGCTTCACTATTTACCACTTGTTATATCTTTCGTCATATTGCAATGTTGTCAATTTGCAAGAGAATCAAGTGCTGCTTTAAATAAAGCTTAAAAGTTGCTACACAGATTAAGGGTAGTTGATATTTGTGGCGTAGTTTCCATGTTTCTCTCAAGGAATTCCCAGTTGAAGCATCATACACCCAAAGAAGGATGCACCAGGAGATATTTGACTGTATTTGCCTATGTGATACCTAGCCACAGCAGATTGAGTTTTTACATCATTCAAAGCTATTGGGGGAATTTGATACTATGTTTATCCATCATATACTTTAGGGCCAGGTGAGCCTTTTGCCTTTGATAATTTTTGATTTGATTATCATGAATGTATTCCAAAAATCCAATGATCCATAGCTTTTGGACCCAGAGTCAGACTCAGTGATACATATTCATGAACTTTGGTTGGAGTAAAATCCAAGTCCGATGTTGGTGCTGACAATTCAATTTACGCCCACGCTCAACATATTTTCATTTTTATTTGTGCCATTGCCTAAAGGAGAGAAATTAAGTAAGGCCTTCATGAGGAGATAGTGCATGCCTACTGCAGTAATGTGGACACAACACAAGAAGCACAATAGAGGTGCACCACCTCCAAAGCCTACTGCCAAAGGGGTAACACAGGGAGTGTGTTCACTAATTATGTGCTTCTGGATCTATCAGTGGGGCTGAAGATGGGGCAAGGCCATAGTTTGAATGAGATGCCAAAAACATGGAATGTTTTGTGTATAGGCAGTTTTTTGATAGAATGTCACACCCCACAAGCCTCATCTTTTAGAAAGACAAGGCTCCCAGACACACTTGAGAGTATTTCACATCCCAAACCTGAAAGAACTACAATTGCATCAAGAGTGAGTGTCTAGCTGTAAACACAAGAAGCATAGATTCTAATGGAAAAATTCCTTGGTCTTAGTTCTGGTGTTTGCTTTTGGATCTGTGATTTACTTCCAACATTTATGTCAAGAATGATACTTCAATCCATAAAAAAACAGTCTCTCAACATGACCATCTCCAAA